ATGCCCTTGACCGGAATTGAACCTGGGACCTTTCAGTCTACAGGCCAACGCTCTATCCACTGAGCCAAACCAGTTACGGCCACAAAATCTCTTTTTATGTGTATTGTCTTTTCTAATTCAATTGGAAGTGCCTTGAGCGCAGAACTGGATCTTCAATGGTGATCTCTCAGTTAATAAATCTTCAGGGAAAAAGGCCCTCTTTGAAAAAAGTTGGCTGGGTTCAGAGAGGGTTGGAGAGAGGGCCAGGCTCCTCCCTGCTGGACTGGCCCCTTTGGTAGACAAGGAGGAAGAGGAGGTCATACTGTCTCAGTCCAGGAGCGAGCTGATGAGGCAGTAAGGGAGCCAACGAATCTGACACTATCACATGCAGCCTGAGACAATCCCCAGGTCATGTGTGTGACTGGGGTTTTGAGAAACCATCACTTTCAAGAATCTGGGCATAATTTAGTTATCAATCATAAAGTATAGTAGAAAGACTTTGCTCAGTTCAAAGGGACTTGTGTGGTATCTATTTCTGTGAACTAATCTTAGTTCTGGTTCCTGTCCTCTTACCAAACTCTCCTTTCACTTGACTCCCCCTAGATATTTTATCCTTTTGGTTCTATACTTTGGTTTATTCTATTGTTCTGGAACTTTTCTAAGTTGCCTCCAACTCTTTGTAAAACAGAGTGAGGTTCCAATAAAAAAATAACAGTTGGTCCAGTTTTCTTTAAAATGTTATAATGGTGCACAAAAAATTATTTTCCAAATGACTCTATAACAATTAAAGATAAATGACAAAAATAATACATGTAAAAAAAATAATACATGTAAATCGTTCAGTATAGTGCTTGGCACTTAGTGAGCATTCAAAAATAAGGCGAAAAAAACACTGTCAATTCTTATTAGCTTCTCTTCTCTGGGCCTCAGTTTTCTCATGTGTAAATGAAAACAATGTCTTAGATTTGTTCATTTGTTCATTCATTCATTCCAAAATCATTCACTGAATGTTTACTATCTGCAAGGAACAGTTCTAGGCATTAAAGATGAAATTCTGAACAAACTAAAGTCCTTAATATCATGGAGTGTATATTCTAGTAGAAGAGACAAACAAAAAACAATTAAACAAAAAGAAAATTTTAGATAGAGGTATGCTATGACAAAAATACAAGAAGGTTAAAGACTAGAGAGTGACTCAGAAGAAGTGCAGCTACTTCAGACCAAAGGCCAAAGAGAACCTCTTAGAGGAAGTGACCTGTGAGCTAAGTCAACTAAAAGAACCAACAAGGCAAACACCAAAGGCAGAGCATTCCTGGCAGAGGAACAGCAACTACAAAGTCCCTCAGGCAAGGACAAGTATGCCAGGAACCAGAAACAGCAGATCCCTGAGGCTTGAGTGCAGAAACTGAGGGGTAGAGGGATGGAGGATGAAGAGGCTGCCAGTATCAGATCATGCAGGCCTGAGAGGCTTTGGTAAGAACTCTGGGTTTTATTCCAAGTGGGTGGAGGATAGTAAGCAAGTTGTGATAAGCTCTGAACTTGGTTTTTAAAAGATTACTTTGGCTGCAGTACTGGGGTAGAAGTGATTTTTAAAGATTCTTTCCCCATTCCAAACTTCTTTTTCTCTGTCAATCGACGCTCCCTTGAACTGGGTGCCTGAGCAAGAAAGATGATACAGCCTCTTCACGAGAGGGAGCCAAGGAGTAGTTTCTGCTCTGGGCAGGATTAGGGAATGTGAGCCACCTGGTTCTGCAAGTGATGGAGGGAGTGGCCCAATCAGGGAGGGGTGGGAATCCCAGTTTGGAAAACATCCGTAAGCCACCTGTATTGTCTCTGCCTCCCAGTGTGGAAGTTTCTGCCAATGACACAGTGCTCTGGAATGCTTCCCCCCTCTTCCCCCCCCAAACACACCCAATCTTCCGGTTACAGAGACATAGTAGTACTTCGCATTCCTCCCAGGATTTAGCTCAAATCTAGCCTATAGGAAATGGTCGATAAAGAGCTACTGATTGATTAATGAAGAGAGGGAATATTCTCAGCCATTAAGCAAATATTAATGAGTACTGTGCGTACTATGTTCGTCTCTGGGGATGCACGCTGATTAAGATGGGTTTCTTGACTTCACTGAGCTCAGAATTCAGCAGACGGACCATAAACCACAGGCAGTGACAATGCTGGATACCAGAGTAACAGCAACAACATGTACAAGGCCCTCCTTATCCTGAGGTAGAACACGCAGGCCTTGGAGCCCAGACTGCCTGGGCTCAAATCACAACTTTTTTTTTTTAATTATAAATTTCTTGTTTATTTACTTCCCTCTTTTCTATTTTAGGTTGGTTATCTTTTTCTCCCGAATCACAACTTCACCATTTACTAGCTGTGCATCTTTGGATAACTTCCTTATGCATCACTATTCTCCTCTGTAAAATGATATAACAGTATCTACCTCAATGGTACTATTTTGATAGGGGATGTTGGGGGAAGGTCAATTGGGGAAAAAAAAGGAGACATATGTACTACTATTTGTAATACTTTAAACAATAAAAAATAAATAAATAAATGGTACTATATTTTGAGAATTCAATGAATTAACACATATGAAACACTTAAGTGTAAGTGCTCAACAAACACTAGCTATTATTAAAATTACTATTAACAGCTGCGCTAAGCTTGACATGTATGATCTTACTTCATCCTTACAAAAACCCTATGAGGCAGGTATTATTACCTCCATTTTTCAGATAGGGGAACCGAGGCTCAGAAAGGGACAGGGATGTGCCTTAATCAAACAGCTGCTACATGATGGAGCCTAGAGTCAAACTCAGCTCTGTCTGACTTCAGAGCCTATAATTCCAACAATGAAATGATCCCATTCTCTTAAAAAGTCTCCAGCATGGTACAGGGGCCCCCATAAAGGGAGATGTGGTTATTATTCCATTGCCCCTGAAGATCTTCCAATAGTAGGTGCTGTGGAGCCCAGAGGAGAGGCCTCTTTTACCCTGACAGAGTCTAAGAAGAGTTCAAACGTACTAAACATACTGACCTGGGTGCCAACCACAGGCTTTGCTCTGGAGTTCCATGGCTTCCCGTCACTGAGATTTGGAGTACTAATTTGGAACCACAACCAAGTAAATCAGACTCAGAAACTGCCCCCAGGTGCCCAGACAGCTGCATGGATAGGCAGGTTGTTTCCTCAGGGTTGACTTCTTGTCTGGCCCTACATCTCTCTCAGTTTCATTACTTAGCCACCAGCCTCATACCTGCACCTGCTGCTTGACCTAGTCCCAGGAGACCCCAAGTCTTAGACTTGGGCCCCCTCCCTGGACCCTGCCCCAAGGGGCCATTTCTGAGTGATTCCCTGGGGACTTCCTTGATATAGTAACCCCTAGGGTTCCATATGAATGTGAGTACTTTGAGCAAAGGGAAAATCTTCTCCCCGAGTAGCAAATTGAGAGCAGGTAGGACAAGGGGTGGGTGTTCTTGTTCTGAATCAGAGGTAAGCGCAGGGTGAGGCCTGGTGTGCCTGCATTTTATGTTTAAGCAGCACTGATCCTGGCCAGGTTAGGTCTCTCACTCAGCAGTATACCCTAGATGGACAAGAACATCCAGGGGTTAGAAATTAATGCTCATCTCTACTTCCCATTTGAGTCACACTCAGAAGCCTGGCCTTGCCTGGTAATCTGCCCACAGAAGGCAACTGATGGCTGAATCAATGAATGACCAAACTTCATCATGAGAGGAAAAGGAAAGACCCAGCATTTGGTAAGCTTTTACTCTACATCAGGCACTGCGCACACACCATTCATCGTTATGAATGTTAGTTAACTCAGTCACTAAACACTTAGCCACCAAATGCTAGGCTTAATAGTAGCTGATAACAGTGAGAGTTTCCATCCTCAATAAGCTCAGAGCACCTTGCTTAGTCTTTCTTCCAACAATCCTGTGAAATAAATATTATTTCCCATTTATAGATGTCTAGGCTTAGAGAAGTTACTTGTCCAAACTCATGAAGCCAGATAAGTGAGAAAGCTAGGATATTATTTCCACTCAAAAAAATGCTTGTTGGCCCTAGCCAGTTTGGCTCAGTGGATAGGGCATTGGCCTGCAGACCAAAGGGTCCTGGGTTTGATTCTGGTCAAGGGCAGGTATCTCAGTTGCAGGTTCCTCTCCAGCCCGGGCCCTGGTCAGGGTGCGTACAGGAAGCAACCAATCGATTGCTTCTCTCACATCAATATTTCTCTCTGTATTTCCCTCTCTCTTCCACTCTCTCAAAAAAAAAAAAAAATCAATGGAAAAATATCCTTGGGTAAGGATTAAAAAAAAGCTTTTTGGTTGAATGAATGACAGAGCTATGGCTATGATCTCAGTCAAGGAGCAGCAATAAGACCAAACATTTATAGTTCTCAAAGTGCTTTCTCATCTATCATCTCCTTGGGCTTCACAGCTTGCCCATGAGGGAGGCAAGTTGGGTGTTATCTTTCTTCAACAGATGAGGCAACAGGCAGAGTTTGGGCACAGTAAACAAGGACTGGGGCCATCCTGGAAAAACTCCAGAGTCCCCAAAACACCTTGTTTAATCAAACACATGCCAAGCACCTACTATGTGCTAAGCATGCTCCTACACACTTTAAATACTCAATCCACTCAGTCAACAAATGATTGAGCACCTTCTATATTCCAGGTTCTGCGGCAGGATCTAGAGATATAGCAATGGATAAAGCAGAGGAAGAGTTCCCTGTTTATTGAAGGTATTTGGCAAAGATAAAAGGAAATATGCTGCCCCATTACCAAATGCCTATTCTGCAACACTGGCCAAACCCTACAGTGTACAAAACATGACTTGGGGACCTTGTGGAGGAGGTTGGGGGACAAGGTTGAGTCCGACCTGAGCTTCAGAAATCTTAAGATCTCCAAGCTCTTAGTTCAAAAGATAATCCACATACTTTATCAGCCTAAAAGTCTGCTTTTTTAAAAAAAATTTATTTACTTATTTGAGAGAGCAAGAGAGAGAGAGACAGAGAGAGAAAGAAATTGGTTTATTGTTCCACATATTTATGCACTCATTGGTTGATTTTTGCATGTGCCCTGACTGGGGATTTAACACACAACCTTTTGGCATCTGGTTGATGCACTAATCAGCTGAGCTACCCAGCCAGTTTGCTCTTAGAGAGTAGCTCTAATAGCAAAGACAGCAACTTGATCACCTGTGAAGGCAATATGATAAAAAAACAATAGTAGGACCATACTGAGTAGTAATTACTATATGCCAACCTACATGTTAAATGCTCCATGTATCTTACAAGTTATTCTCATGCTTATAAAAATCTTTCAAAAAAAGCATTATGTATTATTATCCCCCTTTTTGACAGATGAGGAAACTAAGGCTGGGGGAGATTAAGTAATTTGCCCAAGGATAACCATAGAGAAAGCAGGATTCAGCATTGGTTGTCAAATTTTGTACCTGACTCTTAACAGTGATGGATTTCTCACAGGGAGACAATGGAGAGGTAGGCATCAGGAATACCAGGAGCAGCTGCTGCTTGGAGGGCTGGTGCCTCCAGAGCCCCCAAAAGATTCTTCCTCACTCCACTGAGATGAGAAGGTAAGGTGGAAATTGTTAGGTATGCTCAAGCTATCCCTAGGGCAATAGGAGTGTCTCCCATTCTGCTGAACCTCCAGGGAAGAAGTTTGTGACCTCTAGTTGCCATCTACCAAGCTCTGAGGGAGAGATAGAAGGGGAGCTGTTGCAGAATAGTCTTTCCTCCCTGGGATGGGGTGGGGGAGCATACTAGAGAAGAAGCCTGATTGGTTCTTTACTCTCTTGGGCAAGAAGCCTATACATGTGATATGGTGCATGTCCTTCACATGGAACTCCTTTGGGGGAATGTCAGGGCACCTTTTGGACCCAAGTAGCCTCAGAAAGGAGAGACTGGCACAACTCTGAACTGCAAGCTAAGCTAACAACTTCTAAGCATTGTAACTAGGTCATCAGGTTCCTGGAGAAGCCAGCTGTGGCTGGGGGTTGGGGAGGGAAATTTTTCAGCCTACCAAGATCCCTACTTCCCTTCAGGCCCCACCCTCCCCGAAATCTGCACCTGCTCCCAAGTGGACCCCTCCCCCCAGCTGGGCCCAGCTGTCAACGGCTCCCAATGCCCCGCCCCAGACTTCCACAGGCCAAAACCCCAGAAGGGGGGAGGTTACTGTTGGGCAGGAGGCATCTTATTGCCACCTGAACTCTTCAGAAGGAAGCCATGGGGCAGGGAAGGAGTGGCCTCTCTTGGGGGCTATTTCTTGCTCTATTAGGACAACAAGAAAGCTGCCCCCCTTTGGGCCGCCCGGGGTACCTTCCTGGCATTGTTGCCACAGGTGGCAAGAGACAGGTGATGTTTACCCGGCTGAGACCAGAATTGCCAAAAGGCTTCAATCAAGCTTTTGAATCTGCACCTGGCCCAGAGCCCCAAAATAACCACCAGGGCAGCCTACCTGATCTGCAGGTCGCAGGTGCCTCTGTCTGCTGAGCCCCGGCTGGCAAGGGATTCTCTTTCCCAGGGGTTACTGGAGACCTAGTTGCATCCCTCTGGTGATGAGCCTCTCCCCACTGGATCCCCCTCTACCATCAACCATCCCCATCCCTCTTCCCAGAGGCCTCCATCAGTCACCGCTCCCTTTTTCATGACCAGGTGTACTGACAATCCACACCCTTTTCAGCCAGTCTGTCTCCTCACTGTCTCCCAAATGCTTCATACACAATCCACCTTCCAGATCTGTCTGGGTGGTTCTTACCTACTGAGCCCACCCTTGCCACATTCTTTTCACCTACTGGAAGTCTTCATAGCCCACATCTTCTTAACAGATAATAATGATGCCTTACATTGACTGAGCTTACTATACTACATGTCAGGCACTGTGCTGGGTGGGCTACAGAGTCACTCACTCATTCAACAAATATTTGTTGAGTGTCTCCTATGTGTCAAGCACTCTGCTAGATGCTGGGGATGAGGGTAAAAATGAGACAAAGCCCCTACACTCTGGGAGTTTAGGTTTTACTGGAGGAGATAGACAGTAAACATGTAAACATGGGCAGCCTCTGAAGAGGTGATATTTGAGTTGAGACCTAAATGATAAGAACACAGCCTTAATTAGAGCTAGGGGAAGAGTACTGTAGGCAGAAGGAACACAGCAGCCTATGAGAAAGAGATTATTGCTATTATCTTCATTTTATAGATGAGGACACTGAGGACTCAGTGTGAATTACACAAAGCCACACTGCTGAGAAAACTATTATTCAAGTCCCTAGCGACCTTTCCCCTTTCTGACATTCCACAACTGGCACAGAAGAGGGTCTGGGTTGGTGATGCAGTTGGCGAGGGAGAGGGTACACACTGATGATGCAGGCTGAGGGTAGAGGCCTCTGAGCCGAGTCATCAGCTGAGTAGCTGATGGTGGAAACGGGTTGGTTTGGCAGGGGTCCAGGGCACCTGTAGGACGCAGCCAGTGGGTCTGTCCTCTTCTGCTTTGGAGTCTACACCACAGATTTGGCACAGTTTGCCTGGAACCATTCATCAAGGGTTTTGGGTCTACTCCTACTGCTTCAAATGAGTTTGCTTCCTTAGAGACAGAGACATTTTTTGTAGCCTAACCTGCATCTAATAATAACAACCCTTCATGTTCATTGAGCACACCCTTGCTGAGTCCTTGCCCAACCCCAGGCCCTGTGCCAAATACTCAAAATGAAATAAACCAGTCTGGGCCTGCAAAAAAGCTATGACGCAGTGGCTTTAGGGTAGGCTTTGGCACCAGATGTATCTGAGTACAAGATGTACAAGGTGTGTTACTGTGGACACGTTATAGAGCCTCTTGAAGCTCTGGATTCTCCATCTTCACATTAGAACAGTTGTGAGGACCAAAGAAGACGATTATGTCAAGGGCATAAACACAGCACCTGGCACAGAGCCAGCAGTCAACATAGACTGTTATTATTACTAAAAAACACTTTTGTGTTTCACTTTCTGGTTTAAGCCTCGCTTACTCTGGTAGGTTGATATTACTCTCTAAGATTTATGAATGAAAATTTGAAGCTGATTTGCCTGGTGTGACGCCACCAGCAAGATATCAAGCTAAGTTTCAAATCGGAGTTGAGTGTTATCTATGGGTGTTTGAAGGTGATCAATACATACTAACTAGAATAAACCTTGCCTGGCATGTCCGGGAACTAAAAGGTCAAATCGGTAATGTATACAGCCTGATGGCAGAAGGACACCAGCCAGGCCCAAGGTGTGGGGCATAAAAACATACCATTGAGGCATGCCACTCACTGCAGTATCCAGTGTCCCTAGCATTCAGCACATATAAAGCATTCATCAGTATTGGCTGATTTAACAAATGAAAAACTCCGAAGACATTTCTGAGCAATTAGGCAACATCGATACACCTGCCTTACAAGCCAGAACTCGGATTCTAAATCTGGCTCTGCCATTCACTGTGGGACAAACCCATGCCTTAGTTTCCGCCCTGAACTGGGACTGACCACCTAACCTACCTCACTGTAAAATGATGTATACAAAGAAGTCTGGTAAATTAAAAAGTATTATCATGCACATAAAAGCAATTATCATCAGACAATAAGGCGGTAAAGTCTGAAGTCAAACACCTGGAGTTTGAATCCCAGGTCCTCCTGGTACTAGCCTATGAGGCCCTGAGCATGTCACTGTTCACTAAGCCTCAGTTTTCACAACCATAAAATGAAGATAACACCACCTACCTTGTCGGTTTTTTAAGAAGAATTAGAGATAACATAGGCTTTGGAGTGAGATAGAATTGGTTTCACAGACTCTGCCTCCTGCTAACTGAGTCCTTCCAAATCTGTGTCCTATAATGATAAGATTTTGAGATAATAACACAGAGATGATGTTGGTAAAGGCCTGCCACACAGTGAGCACCGGATAAATGTCAATGATCATCTTGACACTGGTACAGTGCGGGTAGGGGGCACAGTACAGTGTTTAAAAGTGGGAGCTTGGAGGCTATCCTCCCAGGCTTTGCCACTTACTAACTGTGCTACCTTGCATAAGCTGCTTAACCTCTCTGTACCTCAGTTTCCTCATTTGTAAATGGGGATAATAATAGTACCAACTTCAGGGTGTTGTCGTGCGAATGGAATAAATTAATACATGTAAAGCACTTGAACAATGCTTGGCATAGAGTAAGCACTTGATAAATGTTAGGTGCTATTAATAGTGATGTTAACAATAATATTAATCACCAACTAGAATAAGAGGGAGAGACTGGGACACAGGCATCCCATGGAATAATCTGAGGTAAGTTCCTAGGCAGCTGTTTCTGGGCAAGTTCTTAACCTCTGAGAGAAAAACTTCTATGGAAAGGACCTGAGGCTGGAGGCTCCTGAGCAAAAAATCCCTGTCCCACTGACCAGGAGGTCAGCCTCTGGGGAGGCAAGTCAGGCTCCTTGGAAGGGACACTGTGTTCCCAGCCGCCTGACTCAGGGGAACAAAGGCACGTGTGTGTGGCCAGGGAGGAGGGAGGGCAATGTTTCCCTTTCAAGAGCAGAACAAAGGATCTGAGGCATAGTTGAGTGTGTTCCAATCCCCTCCCAAGCTATATCCCCCGCTTCAGATGATTGTCCAACAAGGTTTTCAACCTAGCTTCCTGAAAGGTGCTGGGGACGGGGGTGGAGTGGGTCAGGGTAGGGGGGCAGGCTCCACTTCACTCTACCCTCTGTCATCAATCTCCAAGAGGCAAGATTTATATGTGACAAACCTCTAAGATCTCTCTTAGGAGTCTCCATCCTGTGCAGGGGTGGGGTGGAGACCCCTGGGGGAACTCAGGGTTAATGGATGACATAAGCCATTGCAAGTGACAGGCTAAATGTCCCTCTAGGGCAGCGGTTCTCAACCTGTGGGTCGCACCCCATTGGGGGGTCGAACGACCCTTTCACAGGGGTCGCCTAAGACCATCGGAAAACACATATATAATTACATATTGTTTTTGTGATTAATCACTATGCTTTAATTATGTTCAATTTGTAACAATGAAAATACATCCTGCATATCAGATATTTACATTACGATTCATAACAGTAGCAAAATTACAGTTATGAAGTAGCAACGAAAGTAATTTTATGGTTGGGGGTCACTACTACATGAGGAACTGTATTAAAGGGTCGCGGCATCAGGAAGGTTGAGAACCACTGCTCTAGGGGAAGTCCAAGATTGGAACTGCTACTGAGTGAAGGAGCCATGGAGAGAACCCTGGAATTCTGACCAATCCCCCAGTGTGGGGTTGAGAGAAAGGTCTGATAGTACTAAGTAGAAATGCATTTTCTAAATCTTAAAAGAATGATCAGAGGCTGGAGAGAGAAGCTGGGTGAAGGGTGAAGGGGAGGAAGCAAAGAAAGTAACTGACAAGAGGAAAGGGAGGGACACATCCAAAAAAAGTAGTTTGTGGAGGGGGGAGCCTTTAGGGACATTACTTTCCAGTTTCCATACTCTCGCCAGCAGGAATCTGGCTGCTGGGTTGGGACAGGAAGCAGTCCATGGAAGTCATGGCAATGGCATTTCCTGAAGAGCAAGAAAAAAACCTCTAGTTCCGAGGGGAGCTCTGGAGTCTGCCCAAAAAGCCGTGTAGCTTAGAGCTAGCTGTAAGGCTAGCTGTAAGGCTCCAGCTTGCCCTGAGAGTGTCATCAGGGATGAAACCAAGTAGCAAAGGTTCCAAAGGTAGTTTCTTTCCACACAAACAATTATTTGCAAAAATCAATATGTAGTAAACGGGAAACCAGATGATGTGATTGATTGAGGAAGCCCTAGGATGCAGCTGCTGTTTGCCGCTGATCCTAATAGTCACTACTCTGAGAGCCTTAAGACTTGAACTAAATCACTGAATCTTCAGAAAGAGGCACTATTATTATAGCCATTTACAAGTTAAAAGACTTGCTCAAGGTCACGTAGCAAGTGAGTGGTCAAGCCCTGATTTGAAAGGCCCAACCCTGCATCTTCCTCCTGATGTAACTTCCGGCAAGCTGCTTCATCTTTCTCAACCAGATTTCCCTCTGGCTCACCACCCTGGGTGGCCATGAGCATCAAAAAGACAAGGTGGATATGAAAGTGCTAAGCGGTAAAGTGCTACATAAATCTGGAGTATTGTTAGTGTGGGGTCGGTGATAAATTGCCCTATATTGATACTGAGATAAGTTAAATTTTGCAGTTAAAGCATTGCAGCTTCTAACAGAAAAGAGCCATCCTAAAACATAACTAACGTGAAATATAATACGGGAGGAATCTGCCACAAGGCCTAAGGCCAGTGAGAACCAGGATTCCTAGACTATCTACTTCAACCCTCCATCTTACAGATGGGGAAACAGGCTTGGGGTTGAAGTGACTTGGCCAAGGTGAGATAGTGAGTTGGAGCAGACTGAGAGTACAATTGGGGTCCTGACTCTAGACCAGGGCTTGTACTACATGGCACAGGAACCCTGTGGTGCTCCTGCTCTGACAGGAACACTGGTAAGGCATGTCTGCCCTGAGGGTCACTATTGCATCCAAAAAAAAGGAGGCTGGATACTGAAGATTCCGTGAGTAGGTCTCTGACATGAGTTCTGTGGCAAAGAATAACTACACCACCATGTGCCAGGATCTGTGCATCTTAGGCACACCTCATTAGGTCTTTGCCATGACCTTTTGAGGCAGGTATTATTTGTCCCAAGGCTCAGGAAATTCAAGGAGTTAGCCCAAGGTCACAAAGCTAGATGTGGGTGAGCCAGGACCTGCATCCAGGCATGTGACAGTTATTCAGACAGAAATATTGTAGCAATGGAGGAGGACTATTCAGGATACCGTATTTGGAGAGAATGATCCCTGAAGAACATGTATCTCATTTAGTCCTCATTCTGTGATTTCTAAGTGGTTGAAAAATGTGGACCCATCAATATGCTGTGTAAGCCTGGTCTTATTTTTCAGTCCCTTTTCACCACTTCCACCTCTACCTCCTGATCCAAGCCACTATTTTTCTCACCTGACAGTTGCACCAGCCTCTTCACTGGGCTCCCAGCAGCCACCCTAGAAGAATTCAGATCATTTCACCGCTGCTCCAAACCTCCTGGCCTCTCTCATGTAACCAAAGCTAAGTCCTCATCAAAGCCTGTGATGTCCCATGTGATCTGACCTCTGACTACCTCTCCCCCCCTCAATCTCAACCACTCTCCACTGTCACCTCTTACCGCTCATCCCTCTTACTGTTTCTTCTCCAGCTGCATTGACCTTGCTTATCCTTGAACATGCCAAGCATACGCACTCCTGAGCCCATTTTCTCTCCTTAGAACACTCTTTATGCAGGTACCCACATCGTCCACTACTTCCTTCATCTTCTTCAGGTCTTGGCTCAAATACTAACTGTTGGCGATGCCTTCCCTGACCACTCTTAAAATTGCAGCCCCACCTCCCTTGCTAGGTATGCCCTATGCCTCAACCTGTTTTATTTTCTTCCTAACACTTACTAACACCTAATATACCATATATATATATATATATATATATATATTTACATGTTTATTGTCTGTCTCTCCCCACTTGAATGTGAGCTCCACAAGGACAGAAGATTTGTTTTATTTAATGCTGTACCTCTGGTACCTAGGACAGCCTGACATACAGTTGGAGTTTGATAAATACTGTTTGAATCAATGAATAAATGATCAGATAAAGGGCAGTTTCCATTACTATTATCCTGGTTTAATACATGTCTGTTTCTTCAGAAATTTAGTGGGCATCTCTTTCACTAGGTACCTGCTATGCCTAAGACCTCTGCTCAGTGCTGAGGAAATAAGTATGGACAAACAAGTATTGACTGGGACACTCAAGAAGCTTCTAAACTAATAGAGATATGGTAATTTTAGAATTGTCTTCTTTACACTAATTTAAACTCTACCACTGTTATTTTCCGCTCATTAATGCAAGTTCTGCTGGGTACTATACTGATAAAAAAAAAAAAAAAAAAGGCTTAGCCCTTCTTCCTTCAGATATTTGAAACTGGTGATCATATTCTCCTGGGTCTTCTCTTCCCCAGGCTAAACAAAAAGACCCAGTGGGATTGTGTGACTCGAGTCTGCCAACTGAGAATGGGGAAGACAGACTGCCGGCTGGAGGAACAGAAAAGCAGCAGATCCAGGAGCAGCGTGACTTCTTCAAAGAAAAGAGATGGAGTCCTTAGGGAAGACTTCATGGAATTAGGTTGGAGGTTGGGGCTAGGGACAAGACCCTGCTAATTAACGTAGTAGGAGATTATGTTGCCGTAGAAGAGCAGCTCATCGGGAATTACTCCTAAACCAACCATGCTAAACGCAGAAAAAAACACAGTTACTGAAAGAAAGCCCATAAAGAAAGGCTGAGGGTGCTGAAAAACCAAGGCGGCTGGGCATAGAAGAGGACACTCAAGCCCACTGGCCTCAGGACAGATACCTGTTTGGGAAGAGACAGCTAACAACTGTTGCTTCCTGTAGCCCAAACAAATCAGGTGACTGCCCACACAAAAGTCAAGAAAACCCTCTGGGTTCTGTTGGGGCTCCCTGAAAAAATACCTGGGTATTTTTATACCAGAAGTTGAAAGGCTCCATAGGGATACTGGGGAAATTTGTCCTAGGAAGTCTAGAAAACCCTATAATGGTGATAGAGTTTTAACAGCAACCTCAAATGTACATCCAGAAGAACTGGGTGCTTTGAGGGGGAGCCCCTGAAACACTTCTATCTCAATTTGGGACCTGAATGAGATTACTAAAAATTTCCACGTTTGGGGTTTCTAATGGGGTTTCCCCAAGAAAACCACAGAGCTGCAACTGCTGGTGAGATCTGCAAAGGTCGCTGAGGTATCTGAGCAGACGTCTATACAGAAGCCGCCAGACCAGGCAAGAAGAAATGTAAGACCACAGAGCCATGCAGACTGGAAAAGGCCAAATTATGTATTCTCCCACACACACTTCACGGCTCTCAACAATGGCATTTCCATCTAGCTATGGGGTTTCCCAGGGACAGCAATCCCAAAATGTCTTAGCCCACCAGGGTCCTCACCCCATCACTGTCCACATTCCCACTGGAAAGCCCCAGAAACACTCTGTCCCTTCAGGGAAGGTCACAGTACATATACCATTCTGAGTGAACATCTCAGGGGCTGACTTTGTTTCCTCCGAAACTCTGGGGGCAAAGTTCAGTCTTCTGAGACAGGTAGTCTATTCAGGGGGTGCTCCCACCCTACAATTAAGGCCCAGGAAGGGCCTTTGTTCTAGATCCTTTACTAGAGTCAAGCTATGGTAGGTGGCTATCATTATTTCATTTTACAGGGAGAGATGGATGAACAAGAGACAAACAGGTTCAGCATCTTGCCAGGTGACCCCAAGCAAGCAAGCGGTGATGTAGCTATGAGTCTGGAATTCCAGTCCTTGGAGCATCCCCCACAATTAAGTATACATACCCGGAGCAGGCCACCTTCTCCCCACATGCACATTTCTTATCTATTGGTAGGGCCTGAGAGGGTCTTAACAATGAAAAACTTAACAAGAAGCCCACTCTGCCTGGGCAAACTCCTGATACCGGCTTGAGTTTACCAGTGCAAGAATCTGAGTCTACATACTTGCCTTTGGGAACCTGCTACTGCCAATAAAGGCACTGTTCTTCCTGCAGCGACCTAAACAATGCCAAGATCACAGACCAGAGTGAGCACCTCCACAGGCATGTTTTACTCAGCCCAACAGCATCTCTGGCTTTCTGTGCTAGTCACTTTATTATTCCTTGGAGAACTTGATATGGATGGAAAGAGTTTTAGACTTTGGAGTCAGGCCAACCTATGTGTAACTTCTCATTCAGTCACTTAACTGGCTGTGGGACACCTGGGGCCAGTCACTTAGCTTCACAGGTAAACTGGGAATAAACCTACCTACCTTAAAGGTTATTGTGTGGAATATATAAAATAGCACGTCATTTCCACGAGGAAAGGTACCATGTCTGGCTTATGGCCAGCATCTAAAACATCGTATGTTTCACAGTAGATGCTCAATAAATTATAGCTGCATAAGTAAAAGACCTAAGACAATGCCTTGAATATAAGATATACTCCATAAAGGCTCATTTCCTTTCCTTTTCCTGTAGGGATGTTAAATTTAGAGAATGCCCAAGGATAAAACAACCCATAATTCCTACACTCCTGGATTCCCCCCAGCCTATCCTCCAGGAAGGTTATGAGATGCCACTATAGTAGCCAATCTGTGCAGCTCAAACCAAATGGTACCTGAAAGTGGGCAGGTGCCTTCTACCCAAAAGATCCTGAGTCACCCTAGCCAGTTTGGCTCAGTGGATAGAGCATCAACCTGCGAACTGAAGGGTCCTGGGTTCGATTCCGGTCAAGGGCACATGCCTGAGTTGTGGGCTTGATCCCCAGTAGGGGCATGCAGGAGGCAGCCGATCAATGATTCCTTCTCATCATTGATGTTTCTATATCTCTTTCCTTTTCCTTTCCTCTCTGAAATCAATAAAAATATATTTTTAAAAAAGAATTAAAAAAAAAAAGATCCTGAGTCAATACCTTCCGGCCTCAGGGAAAATGCATGCCCAGAAATAGTTCTGACATAACTGGATCATCTGCACACATCCCCTCTGTTCACCAAGAGGAAGAAGTATATGGTATGTTGTCCAACGGGCTCTGATAATTCTTGAGCAATGAGAGAAAATGGAATTTCAATATAGTGGCTGTCTACTGAACTTGCCCAGTGCTGCTGTGTCTAAAACCTCTTTTCACATGCAACACTGATGACTGGCAATTCTCTGGCCCAGGTAGCCCTCTGCAGAGGCTGGCTGGTAGACCAGGCAACTCTCCCAGATTGCCTTTTGTTAATAGCTGGCAACAACCCACCTGTTATAGGACCACTGGCCAAAGACAACAGTCATGCAAAGTAGGCAAATGACCCAAGTCTACCTAGAGATGCCTCAGAGGGTGTGTCTGAATGAAGCACTGGAATCCTGTCCCTCCTGTAATCAGCTGAACAAATATTTGCCCCCAAAGAGAATCAAAGCAGGAGGGAATGAGAGGTCATTGAACAAACCAACAGGAACTATTTAATCATTTATCCCCCCAGGGAGTTCATTTACAGAATGGCTTTCAAGTCTGGTCAGCCTTAGCTCAAGAGTGCCCTCTCCTTTACCTCCCCCAACCCCGCCCCAATCATCTGACCTCTATTGACTTATCTCTTTGCCTTGTACAAGTATTGGCAACGGAAAGAGTTGATGAAGTTGCAAAGAAATGGGAAATAAGACAGGGGGTGGGGTTCCAGGGCAAACTCAGAGGTCTCTGCTCATTCGTAAACTGAAGTGCCTGCCACGCCCTAGGCCCAGCCTATAGATAATTGCATTCTTGACATTCCTGAGTCCACGGTGCATGGCCCCTTCCATCTTAGTTTCTTCAATAGATTACTTATTTTGCACAGCCTGCTCAATTTTAGGGGTATTCTGAAGGGACAGAATACCTCTCATAAGCCCTCACCTCCCCTAGGCAGGGAGATAGCAAGAAAATATGACTGAGGTCACTGTAGAATAGCAAAAATTACCTACAATGACCACTGATACAGAATCTCTCACCACTGTCACATCCTAACTTGGTGACAAGCAAAAGAATTCTCTCTCCTGGGAAAGCAATGAGGCATGACTCCTGGTCCCAACTACTACAGCAAACATGTTGGTGTCAGTCACTGTGCTCATATTAGCTCCAAGATTATAATACCCTGCAAGGCAAGGAGGGCTTGCCACATTTTTTTAGTGGAAGATACTGAGGCTCAAGGTAAACTGGTCTGTCCAAGGTCACGTAGCTAGTTAAGTGACAGTGCTGGGACTCACACCCATGTCAGTTTGACTCTGAAGTCAGTCACTGAATCTTGATGTCCCATAGAGCCCCCACAGACTCAGTTCTTGCTTTGCCAGCAAACAGTGCTCGGTGAAGAGGCCCCAGGGCCCTGGCCGGAAAGCAATAGGCAGAACAGCTGGAGCTCCCCAACCGACTCTAGGTAGTGAAGTACAAAGTTCAGGCTTAATGTGTGACACAGCAAGAGCTCAGGAAACAGGCCAACCATATAGAAAGTTGCACACTTTAGAGCAAATGAACACAGGGGTGCAGCACAAACACAACTGGCCACTGCCCTAAAATCAGGCAATCCTCAGCCATCCAAGCCAGTGGAAACTCCTGCCTGGCCCTGCCTTTTTCTGAGAGAATATCAGGTATGCAAACTTCAAAATAAAAAAGAATTTGATGTGGGGGAGGGAAGCCCAGAATAGACTGACATCCCTGAGGGAGTAAGAATGGAGGGGCTTATGGGTCACTGATACTCGCTATCTTCTCTAGGCCTTATACTCATCACCCCTTTGGGCGGTGAGCCATTATGTCAGGGTGAGGGGAACCCTGGACTAACTTCCCGCTCTCAAATGAACAGGCTATGATTTCCTCCACCGAGAAACTGGAACACAGGTGGGAAAGAGTGGGGTCACGAGGGTGACCAGAATGAAAAATGCCTGGTCCGTCAAGCACTCGGTCATCCGTTTTTTAGAACCGATAACCTTTTGCAGTGCAGAGGCCAGTTCATGTCTCCTTAACAACATGTCCAAGTAACCATCCGGCACAACAGAAAGAGACATGAGGAAGGGCTGATGAGATCTCTCTGAGCAGAGGCCAAGGAAAAGGGACACACAAGGGGTGTGGTCCTTACCCAGCCTCCGTTCTCCTGGATCCAAGGCTCTAGGTGGTCATTCAGGTAAGTGGCCATCCACGTTGCAATCCGACTCACCAATACCTGCATCTCCTTGTCCACACTTTCCACGCACAATGCCCCACCGAACGAGAAAAAGGCCACAATGCGACCCCAGTTCACCCCATCCCGGAAGAGTTCATTCACTACTTGCTCAAAGCTCTGATATGCTGTCCCTGGGGTGATGTGGAGCTGGGATGTCAGGTCGCTGAACGCCCGCCGGTACCTCAGTTCAAACTCGTCGCCTGCCTCCCTCAGCGCTTGCTTCACCGCTGCCATGGGAATCACCTCCCGGGCATCCAAGCTACTGCTGTGGCCAGTGGCTCCATTCACCGCAGGGCTGTCCACCAGGTGCCAGGATGGGTTGCCATTGATGGCACTGGGGGTCTCCACCTCTGATTCAGTCCCTTCTGGGGCCTCAGTTCTGTTCTCTTCCACATCACTAAACTGACTCCAGCTGTATCCTTTCTGGGAAAGCTTGTAGGAGAGAAAGTCAACCACCAGTTCCCGGTTGCTCTGAGACATTTTTTATAATAGGGATGGGCTCGACCAGTCCATTGTCCAAAACACCTGCTCACTCACTGGAGTCTGGTCTCTAGTTAGTGGTTGCCTTCTGAGATCCAAAGCCAAGATAAGGTTCTGAAGGGAGAGAAAGAGCTTTCAGGAAAAAAAAAAAAATGAATTAATATGCAAGCCATTTAACCTACAACATCGCATTCCACCTCCAGATACCAGAACTGGCTTCTTTGTGGTTCTTATGAACGCCTGAGACTAGCTTCTCAGACTCCCATCAAGTCAAATTGAAAGCACCAGTAGTCTCTGAACCATCACACCGGCCTTTTTTTCTCCCCCACCCCCGACCCCAGCCACCTCCTTTTCCCCGAAGCTGTCGGCCCCCCATCCCCACCCCCGCTCCACCTACATTCAAATACGTCTCTGGCCAAGGCAGGCAGGTGCAGTCCCCGGGCGATCTTTTGTACCATGGGGTCCGGAGAGGAGGTGGCTGCCGGTAACTCGACCGGCCTCACGGGCGGCTGGCAAAAACCCCAGCTGCGGCTGCAGGGACCATGCGGCCCTGCCGGCTGGGTGTCCCGAGGGCGACACGGCAATTACGAAGCTCAGGAACCGGCCGCCTCGCTCGCTTCCTCCTCCATCGCCCAGAATGAGGGCGGCCTCCTGCCACCGGCAGTCCAGCCCCCTCGCTCGAGCACGCTCCTCCGCTCTCTGCCTCCTACTGGGAGCCAGGAGAACTCTCCCGAAGGCGGCCGGGGCAGGCCGTAGGGCTTTTTGTTGTTGTCGTTTCTATTTAAGGACCGGCCCCGGGTGAGGCTTCCGAAACCCCGAAAGGACTTCTCAATGGGGCTCAAGGTTTCGATGAGGGACAGAGGGCAGGGGAAACTGCCTCGCATCTGAGGTCTGACTTCGGAAATGCCATCCCCGGGCCTTTCCGGGAGGCTGCAGGCCGGGGACCCCCCAGAAACGCCGCTGGTGTTCTCTGAATTCCCCAAAGGCCCTGGACGCGGCGGTGGCGGTAGGGGATTGCCGGCTCCTCCATTTCCCGCACGGACACAATGGCCGCCGGCGCCCCGCACAAAGACCGGGTGAGGGTGAGGGCGAGGCGCCGGGCCTCTCCGGTCGGGGAGCAGGGTCGAGGCCTGCTCGAGGACCCGACAGCTGAGACCACGTTTTCCCGGAGCCAGGCTCCCGGCGGCTTCCTGGCGCCCCCGGGAGGGCCGGGGGGCTGGGGGCTGCACCTCTCCGGAGCCGGGGTGGGTGGGCTGCGGCCTGGCGGCTCCTCCCGCGCCCGGGGCCGGGTACCCGCGGGGCCACCGCCCAGTTGCTAGGCAACCGCTCTCCCTCAGGGGCGCCCCCTAGACCTTTCTGGGAGAAGGGGGTCTCGTCCCCGGCGGCCCGCCCCTGTAACCAATCAGAGAGCCCAGTCGGCACGGAAGCGGGGCGGCGAGGGCTCCCATTGGGCGCAGCGCCTGCCACACACAGGGGAGGCGGTGCTCTCACCTGCGAGCCCCGCGAGCCGTGGGGGGCCACATTCCCCCTTCGTCGGCCAGGTCGTTTCCAGATGCGAGGGCTCCTGGCGGCCGAGTTCCGCGCCGCTGACCCGGGCCGGCCTACCTGGCTGATGGCTCCCTCTGTCTCTTCCGAACGAGCCGGCCTCAGTTTCCCCTGAAGAGACCGGGGGAACTTGCAAGCTCAGTCACTTCCGGTGCCGCGGCAGCGCGCGCGAGCCCGAGACGCAAAGGGAGTGTGCACGCCGTGAGGACTGGCGTCAAGACCTGGGAGAGAGCGCCCCCTTGCCGTACATCTCGGGAACCAAAGACGGAAAAAAAAGTTTACATTTATATTTCCATTCGTTCATTTAGTCAGTCATTTTCATCTATCTGTCAGCTTATATATCGAAAAAACATTTCGCTGTGGCTAAGAACATTGTGTTTAGGATTCCAACTCCAGTTAGTCAAGTTCCTCAACAACCCTGTGCCTCAGTTTTCTTAACTGTAAAATGGGTAAAAATCAACCTCCATCATTGAGTTACTGTGAGGATTAAAATAATTGATATTTGCCCTGTCTCCTCCCTTCCCCCCCTCTCTAATTAATAAATAAAAACAACAAATAAGAGTTATTATTTGTAAAGTCCGTAGAACAGTGTATGGTCCATAGTATATGCTGCATAAATTCATTCATCAAATGTTTATCGTTTGGGTTGCTAAAGACAAAATTGGGACCAAGACAAGACACGTCTCTGACCTTTTAAGCCCTTTAGATAGAGACAGTAAACAACTAAGAAAATATACAAACAAGGTAATTTCAAATAGAGACCAGGGCTAGGAAGAAAGTAGATCAGGGTACTGTAATAAAGAGGGTGAAGGGAGAGTTGCTACTTTAGACTGAGTGGTCAGGAATGTAAGCCCTGCCCAGTGAGGGAGAGAAGCATTTATTCAACAATGTTTACGTAGGGTGACTAGGGATGTCCTCTAGTGTCGATTTAATTGATTAAAAATTAGGTATACAGGAAAAGGAATGTTAAAAATATACCAAAAAGCATAGATTAAAAAGTAAGTCCTCTTCTCACCCTACTTTCCAATCCCCAGTTCCCCTCACAGAGGTTCACTCCTATCTCTATAGTCTTTCAGAGATGGTGACTGTATTCACAAGCAAACTTATGTGTATAAATGTTTTACACAAATACTTCCACATCTTGCTTTTTTCACTGAGCTCTACATTTTGGATCTGCCTCAATTTTTTCAAGTTAACAACTTTATAAAGATGTCATAATTTACTTGCTCAATCCCCTATTTGGGAACACTTAGGTGGTTTCCAATCTTTTTCTTCCCAAATAATGCTATAACTTGTCCATTTGTTATTTTGCATATGTGGGAATTTATCTGTTAAGTAAATTTCTGGAAATGGAATTATCAGTAAATGAGTATATGGATTTGTTTTTGCTTTGTTTTAATCGACATTGGCAAGGCAGTCTCCACAGCAGTGGTACCAGTTTGTCCTACCAGCAATGAATGTACTGACTTCCTTACATCCTGAACTACACAATATGTTAGCAAACCTTTTTATCCTTGCCAATAAGATAGATTAAAAACCGCCCTAGCTGGTTTGGTTCAGTGGATAGAACGTCGGCTTGCAGACTGAAAGGTCCCTGGTTCGATTCCTGTCAAGGGCACATACCCAGGTTGCAGGCTCGATCCCCAGTAGGGGGTGTGCAGGAGGCAGCCGGTCAATGATTCTCTCTCATCATTGATGTTTCTATCTCTCTCTCCCTCCTCCTTCCTCTCTAAAATCAATAAAAATATACTTAAAAAAAGATAAAAACCAAGATGTGCTTTTATTTTTTTATTTCTTTTTAATAAGAGTGAAATTGACTCATATTCATGTGTCTTTTTTAGGGGGTCTTGTTCTGGTGAATTCTTTGTTCATTCCATTTGCCCTTTCTTCAGTTGGTCTTTCTGTTGAACTTTTTTTCTCATTGATTTATAGAAATATTTATCCTTTCCACATATAAGTTGTAAATATTTTTCTGATTTATTATTTACTAGGGGCCCAGTGCACGAATTCATGCACCTTGAAAGGAACTGTGGGCTGCGAGGCTGCGATGGGCACAGAGGCGTGTCTCAGCCCATTCTCTATGCCCCCACCTGGTCCCTCCTGCCAGGGCCCTGGCCCTGGTCCCCTATCTGCTGGCAGCCCTGCTCCCACCACCGCCGCTCCCATGTACTGACAGTGCCTGCCCTGCTTGCACCCGAGCGGGGCCGGCGCCAGCAGCGGGTGCGAGTGGCGGCTGCTGCCCAATCACCCCTCAGGAGCAGGGGGAGATGGAGAAGCCCTCAGGGGCAATCGGGGCCGGCAGCCGCCACTCTCACCCACTGACAGTGCTGACCAATCGGGACCAGCACCGGGCTCCAGCAGCGGGTGCGAGCGGCGGCTCCGGTGCCAGCTGCGGATGTGTGTGGGGCCAGTGCCATCAGCAGGGGCGAGTGGCGGCTGCTGCCCAATCACCCCTCAGGAGCAGGGGGAGGTGGAGAAGTCCTGAGGGGCACCATGTTATGTGTGTGCCCCCTGGTGGTCAGCGCACATCATAGTGATCGGTTGTTTGGTTGTTCGGTTGTTCCACCGTTCAGTCTATTTGCATATTAGGCTTTTATATATATAGATTACCATGGAGAAATTTTTTATTTTATGTGTATTTTAATTTATTGGTCTTTTCCTTTGTGGCTTTCAGGCTCTGTATCTTTCTTAGAAAGACCTTCTCTAGTTCAATATTATAAAAATAATTCTGTTTTCTTCTAGTTTTTATATTTTACATTTAAATCCTTGTTCCACCATAAATTCACTTTGGTGTATGGTGTGAGGCCAGCATCCAAAATTTATTTGCAAATAACCACCCTGTTATACTAATATTACCATATTTTCCCAATCATTTGAAATGTCTCCCTTATAATCTATATTCCCAAGTTTATTTGGATCAATTTCCAAACTTTCTATTATGTTCCATGGGAGGGTTTTAAACTGGGGTAGGACATGAAATGCTTTTTTTTGAAGGGGGGATTGGAAAGAGAGAGAGAGAGAAACATTGATGTGAGGGAGACACATTGATTGGTTGTCTCCTGCACAAGCCCCAACCAGGGCTGAGGATCAAACTTGCAATCCAGGTATGAGCCCTTGACTGGAAATAGAAACCATTTAGCCACACTGGTCAGAGATATATATATATATATATATATATATATATATATATCTTTATTTCAGAGAGGAAGGGAGGAGAGAAAGATAGAAACATCAATGATGAAGAGAGAATAATTGATCAGCTGCCTCCTGCACACCCTCTGCTGGGGATCAAGCCCGCAACCCGGGCATGTGACCTTGACCGGAATTGAACCCAGGACCCTTCAGTACACAGGCTGATGCTCTATCCACTGAGCAAAACCGGGGATTGGTCTCTACAGCTGGCTTTCTTGGGTTCAAATCCTGGCTGTGTCACATACAAAGTGTGTGACTCTGGAGAAGTTGTCTAACCTCTCTGGGCTTCAGTTTCCTCCACCTATAAAATGGGAATGATAACATTGTCTACCCCAGGGTTACTGTGAAGATGGAATGAATTAATATGTGTAAAGTACTTCAAACAGTGCCCGGCATATAGTAAGTGCCAGCTGTTACTACTTATACACACCCATGGGAAAAGTAGAGCATTATTTTGCATATTTTTAAAAAAACAATGGTTTCACACTGCATTTATATTAGCAATTTTCAACTGGTGCGCCACAAGAATTTTTAAGACAATACTTAACTATTTAGTCAGGGGCGCTGACCTCTTTTCTCTAAGATTGCCAAATAAGAAAATGACAACAGCCAACACAACAATAGTCATCCAGTGTGTGAATAAATCAAAATTATACCTATTTTTTGGCAAAAAATATATTTCTTGGTGTGCCACAGAATTTTAGTAATTAGTTTCTGAATGCCATGAAATGAAGAAGGTAGAAAACTGCTGATTTAGATCAATCAGTAATATTTATTTATTTATTTATTTATTATGGATTTCAGAGAGGAAGGGAGAGGGAGAGAGATAGAAACATCAATGATGCAAGAGAATCATTGATTGGCTGCCTCCTGCACATCCCATACTGAGGATCGAGTTCACAACCTGGGTGCATGTGCCCTTGACTGGAATCGAACCCGGGACCCTTCAGTCCGCAAGCTAACGCTCTGAGCCAAACCAGCCAAGGCAGTCATTTTTTTTTAACTCAAAAATGTATCTCAAAGAAAACTCCTTGTTAGTCCAGATCTATGGAACTCTTTTTGAACAGATGCTTAGCTTAATATCCCATTCTATAGTCAGGTTATTGAAATAACCCCCTATGTATGGACAGTTAGGTGGTTTCCAGTTTCTCACAACTACAATGCAACAGGCTACTAATTGATTTCCCTATTTCTAACCTTGTTCCCCTTCTTTCTGTTTCCAGTACAGCAACCAGAGTTATTTCATTAAAAGCAGAGAGTAAATCAATGCTCGAAACGCTCCCAGGACTCCCACTTCATTCAGAGTAAAAATCAAAGTCCTTATAATGGCCTAGTTGGTCTGCATCCTGCTCCAGAATATCTCTGGTCGCGTCTCCTGATAGTCTCCTCCTTGTCCATTTGATCCAACCACCCTGACTTCCTAACTATTTCTAAAACATGCCTGCTA